AAGGGAAGACGCACTTTGGCAGAACTTTTTCTCTCCCAAACTGTGCACACCTCATGGATCTACCAAAAGACGTGATTGTTGATAAATTCAGTTCCGAGAAAAACTTTTCCATCGAACTAAGTACAAAAAACAGATGGAAAATAAAATATATCCAATCCCTTGAAGCAAACACCATCAAATGGTACACAGACGTTTCCAAAACTGCTGAGGGATTTGGAGCCGGAGTATTCGGGCCACGGACCAAATCCTCGGAGCCAATGGGAAAATCACCAAGCATATTTCAAGCGGAACTTAATGCGAGCGGAAGATGCGTGCAATTCAACCTGAACACAAGTTATCGAAAACGAGAGATTGTAATCATGTCTGACAACCAAGCAGCTATCAAAGCATTGAGCTCCCCGGTCATCAATTAAGACAGTATGAAAATGTCTACAGAAACTCAATGAGCTGGGGCAAGAAAATAAAGTAACCCTCCGCTGGGTGCCTGGACACATGGGGATCGAGGGCAACGAATACGCAGACAGACTCGCAACAACAGGAGCGTCTACTCCATTCACTGGGCCGGAACCATTTTGCGGTATCGGAAATGTGCACCTCCAAGAAATCCTAAAAAAAAAAGGAGAACCGGCTAAGGAAGAAACAATAAAACAGCCAGGACTACGACAGGCCAAAGATCTATTGGGCAACTTCAACCAAAAAAGATCAGAACTGCTGGTCAACCTTAGCAAGAAATGTCTTGAGACTCTAACCGGGTTTTCTCTAGGGACATTGCAGAATCAAGAAACACCTATCGAAACTGGGGTTGCAAGAAGGTGGCACCTGCAGATTCTGTGTCGGCGGAGAAGAGACACCTCACCATTTCCTACTGAAATGCGATGCCATAAGTCGCTCAAGGATGAAGAACGGGTAGTGCCCTTATACAGTTCGAAGACATTCTAGCCCTGGAACTGCTAGATATCCTGAAATTCTTAAAAGATTGGAGGGGCTGCTTTGAGCAGGAAACCCGAACTTAGCAGCAGAAGGAGGGGTACAGTAGATCAATCTTAGTCCCATTACAATACTGACACCTCCAAGACATACATACATATGTATAGGTATGTACAGGGTGGCCCGTTTAAGAGGGGCTGTGAAAAAAATGTAAATATAAAAGTTGTTTCTTATAAAATTATCTGCAACTTTTTTGTATTTTTTTTGGTGTCACTCTACTATATACAGGGTGAACATATGAAATTTCATTTTTTTAAATGGAACACCCTATATTTCAATACATATTTAAATAGCTCTTTGAAAGACAAATTCAACGGTATACTGGTCATGTGTCTGTGATATATCGTTTCGAACTTATTAGCGACTATCTTCAGGAATTGGCGTAATTTTAAAGGGGGTGTGCGCCAAAAATTAAAGTTTTAGTGTAAAAAAATCTAAGAATAACTGTTCAAACCTCGTTATTCTACGATAAACCATCGCTGAGATATACCGCTTTAAAGTGTGGGCGACGCTCTCGTGACGTCACGAGAACTTCGTCTAGCCGCGCTCCGCATTGTTAATTTGATTGTTCCCGGCACGCGTGACTAGTTTTTGTTTAGATTATTGCAGGTAACACAGGAAAAACATATGTAAATTTAATTAACTCCACTTTCTCGTGCGTCGCTTGAGCTTTCGTGACGTCATAGGGTAAGATGCGGTACCTTCATAGAGCCATATCTGCGGTATTATTTGTCATAGAGGGGTACGGATTTCACTGTTATTCTTAGATTTTTTTTCTCTTTTTTTTGAGATGAAGTTGTTTTTTTGGCGCACACCCCCTTTAAACAGTCATTGTTACGTTACTCATAAAAATTTTAAACTTTTTTTTGCATATTTTCTATAAAATAATGCTCTTCTTTAGACTATAGTCAAATTTGAAATATTTGTTTAAAAAACATGGTGTTGCCACGTTTTGCAAAATGTTAAATTTTTAAATTCTTTCAAATGGGACCTCCTAGTTTTTGGATAGCCCTTTAAAAGACAAATTCAACGATATACTAGAAATGGGTCTGTGATGCACCGTTTCGGCCTGAAAAACGTGGCAACACCGGGTTTTTTTAACAAATATTTCAAATTTGACTATAATCTGAAGAAGAGCATTATTTTATAGAAAATATCATGCAAAAAAAAGTTTAAAAAGTTTATGAGTAATGTAACAATGACTGTTGAAAATTACGCCAAATCCTGAAGATAGTCGCTAATAAGTTCGAAACGGTATATCACAGACACATGACCAGTATACCGTTGAATTTGTCTTTCAAAGAGCTATTTAAAAATGTATTAAAATATAGGGTGTTCAATTTAAAAAAATTAAATTTCATTTGTTAACCCTGTATATAGTAGAGTGACACCAAAAAAAAATACAAAAAAGTTGTAGATAATTTTATTGGAAACAACTTTTGTATTTAAATTTTTTTTACAGCTCTTAGATTTCGAGATAAGGTATAGGCCCCTCTTAAACGGGCCACCCTGTACATAGGATACATACATGCAAGTGGGTAGGTGTTAAGATTGGAGACAAAGTAGGAAAAAAAAACTGACTGCTTATACAGCATGTGAACTAACTTAGTATGACGAGTGCGACAGAGACAAGCCGAAAAAATCTTCATGAATTACACGAAGGAAGACAACGATAAAGAAGTAGGTACTGTATGATAATTAATTCAAAGAACTTTTTCAGTGTTTTAATTTTGAGAATAAATTATATTAATTAAATAAATGAGGGGCGTCAATGGGCGTCATATACAAGAAAACATACGCTCATATTTTTTCTAATCTTCAAAAAAAAAAGCCAGATGGTCTTCAGCCTGCAAAGATAAGATAAAACGAACAATCAATAATAAAAGCTTTCTGGTTTTGTTTAAACGGAGAAAATTACAGTTTTTGTTCGGCATATGGCTCACAAGATAAGCGAGCGCCCGATAATAATTATTCCGAGGCTTTTTCTTGCTAATTAAGCTCTCTAGGATAAATAAGAAAGTCTCGACTATAGATCGTGGTAGGCGGTAGCTGCAAAACTGTTGACACTAGACGATAATTGTAAATAATTAACGTTTTGTAGAGAATTGGCTTTGGAATGAGGAAGAACATCAGATTAAAATTTTCTGAGTACCAATAGTTAGAAAGAAGCACGAGAGCAACGTATCTACTGTAAAAATTTAAACCGATCCTATCAAAACATCGTATCCTATCAAGTATAGGTATCCCAAAACCCGACTTTAAATCACCTTCTAACACAAGGAGTAAGAAAAAGAAAGCTAAAAAGTCAGTGAACCCGATTCTAACTAGCAGGAGAGAGACAGAGACCGACACGGTTGATATTACCTTTAAAGCATCATAAAAAAAATCAAAAACCATTAAAGGTACAAAAAATCCTAAATTAATATATTTCCAGGGTTTATTTAGACCGAATTATAATAAAATCCTCCAACAATTAACGGAGTCACGATCAGTTTAAAGTCAAGAAAATTCCCACAACACCAAAACAGGTAAAGTACGTTAACAAAAGGTTTCAGCAGCTGCCTTTTTGATTTCTCGCCCCTTTAAGACGTTCCCCTTGGCTCTAAGACGAGAAAATAAGGCACAACGGATTTTTGCCCTTTTCTGGCCATCTGTTTGCATAGAAACGACCCTTTTTGAGGGATATAAAATGTCCTTTGGACAGCTGTTTTGGTGTTTCTCGATTTTTGGGATTATTTTGATGTGTTGTTATTTATCGGATCGGATATTCCTATTTCCTAATCCTTTTTCTATATTCAAAATTCAAAATTTCAATCCAATCAGTAATAGTAGGTATAGTATCTACTCCTTTACAAACCAGTGGTTATCTATCACTTTTGAGAGACTAGGAAGTTTATCTGGAAACAGGAATTAAACTTTCTGTGGCGGTTTGTTGGTTTGTATGGTATTTTATTTACAAAAAAAAAATACAAAAATGTAGCTTATTATTGTCTTAAAATACAAGTGACTCTTGAAAAAGTAAAAAATGACAACATAACATGGTATTGGTAACAAAAATATATCTACAAAGTATAGAAATTTAATAATTTTTCGAGTTTTTATTGGATCGGCTTCAAATTCTAGTAGATACATAGATTTTATGTTTCCAAGTCTTCCCTCAATGATTTAGAATATGCACATACGTATCGTGTCATTGATTGTTTTTGCCAATAAATAGGAACCTACTGCGATGATATTCAACAGATTGACTGGAATCGAGCTTCAATAGTTTCTGAGATCGAATGGTTTTTGGGAAGAAGAAAAATGTGCCTGCTAATGTTTTTTCTTTGGAACATATTTTGAATAATGAGGATCGTGAGTGAAAATCAAAACAGTTACGAAAGGTGATGTTTGAAGTTGAAGTTGGAAATGAAAAGATAAATATGGTTGAATAAACTTGACTAATTTTCATAATCGAACTTTGTGAATTCATAAATCCTTCTTGGATGAGAATTTAATTTTTTTGGTTTGATGGTGTTTTCGGGGGAAAATAAGGTTTGATGGTGCTTCCTCTGGTCGTTGATATCTATTGATTTGGGAGTTTTGTTGAAAACTTGTAAGATTGTATCCATTGATTGGATCGTCTTGAAACTTCCTATGCAGCAAAATGCACCATATTTAAAGTTTAGGAAAAAAAAATTAACGATGCAAAATTTCAATATATCGAAAACTCCCTTTTACTCAAACCCTTATAATTAGGCTAATTTCGATCCGATCGACTTGAATCAAGCGTCGTTAAGAACGATAAAGACTCACTCATTACGGCTTCAACAGTTTCCGTGAAAAAAAATCATAAATTATGCTTCAACAGAACGACATTACCTTAGAGAACGCTCCTAAAACTTTATTAATTTCAATCCGATCGACTTAAATCAAGCACCATTTTAAAGCCAAATAAATTCATTACACCCTACAACCACCTTAAAACCTAATAGTTTTAAAAATACAGCAAATATAGTGTCGAGCAGACTTACCTAAAATTCGAGAACCACTTAACCAGCTGCGCCGTATTGTTCTTGTTGAACTTGATGTCAGGAAAGTACATTTTCAAAACAGCCGAGCTTGGATAGCGGACCCAGAAGAACATCAGTTTCGCTTTTCTGAGGTGCATCGGCGTCAGCGTTGACGAGTGTTCCGGCGTTAAGGAAATATTTGACGTTGGCTAATAAGGAGAAAAACTTTGATTTTTATTGTTGTTTTCCAAGGATCGGCTTAAAATTTTAGTATGGTATATCTCGATCCTTTTTGTATCTGTGTTGAAGATTTTGATCTAATGGCTTGAATAGTTTTTGAGACATAAGGTCAAAACCTGTCCAGTTTGAATTTTGGGAATTTTTGCACGAATTCTCAACGGATCGCCTTGAACTTTTAGCGAGACGTACATTATAAAAGTTTCAAGTTTATATCGCAAATCCTTTTGAAAAACAATCTCCTGACTTCATCTAATTTCATAATGGATCCGATTGAAACTAAAGGTTTTTGTGAGGTTTTAGTTTTAATTATTCTTAACAACGAAATACTGTAGGTACTTACTATTTGGATTGGATTGAAACTTTTTTTCTTGAGAAAGATGTCTGATGTCTTACGAAAATAATTTAGGTATACCTATATAAATATAAGACGGTCGAAATTTGGATTGGTTTTCTTTGCTTTTCCTAGCCATACTGATGAGACCTGATATAGGTCGAAACGCGTCTATGGATGGAAAAGCAAAGAAAATTAATCCAAAATTTTCTAATCAGTATATAAATATAGGTAGGCTCAAGGAATCGAAAATTTGAAGTTTGAAAAAGTTGCATTTTTTTCATTTGATTTTTTTTGAAAAACTTTAAGCCGATCCAACAAAAATAAGCAATTCAAAAGAAAAATAATTTAAAACTAAATCTGAAGCACATCAAAGATCAAAAGAGTCCGTATAATAAAAAAATGCAATTACGTAATTATCGTATTAAATATTCAATAAAAAAAAAAATAGAAAATTACACATTTCAGAAAAAGTGTAATTCCTTGGTAACTAGAAAATTGCTATATACTTATAGTGAGACTCCTGCCTACTTTGAAGCTTCGTAGCTGCGAAACTGTTGAAAATTCCTCTTTCAGGATTTGTAGGGAGGGAGTTTTATGGGCTTTTTAACGGCGCTCGATTCAAGTCGATCCGTTAAATATTAACGGAATTATGAGCGTTTCTTTAGTCAATGTCAAATTTTTTTTTTTGAATAAGTGCTTTCCAATGGATCATCTTGAATTAAAGATTTATTGATAATAGAAATCTTTTGAGATATCAGGTTGAAATTTAGCGCAGGTAGAAGAAAGATTGAGGTAGGTATAGTCCCCGCCACAGATAATTGAGATTCCTACAAAAAATGATTTCTTTGTCGGCGATGCCCCGATAAACAAAAACCCCTGCAAAAACTCTACAGATAAGGGTTGAGAATAAATTTAGTCCAAGAGTATCAATTTGTTGGTTTTGTTCATCCGGGCATCGCCGACAAAGAAATCTTTTTTTGTAGGAATCTCGATTATCTGTGGCGGGGACTATACCTATTGTAAGTTATAGAGTATTTCAATAAGTACCATCCGAAAAAATCGTGATTCAACAGCACAAAATAAGAATATATTTTTTTTTCAATAAACAATTTTCAATCAAAAAAATGTTACTTAGTTCAAACTTTCTTCTATCAACTTCAGAATAACTAAATTCATTCCGGCACTCTCACTCCCTTAATTTCAATCCGATCTTAACGTTATTAGGCTCAAACTGAAGCCGATCGAATTCTCTATATAAAAATGTAAAAAATCAAGCTCTACGTACATGTTGACAATTATTATGAAAACTTTTACTAAAATCAGTTTTGCATAAAAAGGATATAGTAGGCTGCAGTCCGTCGTACACGACATCGGCTGAATTACAATCCGAAGCGCGATCGTCGATGTTCGGCTGGACTCGCATATGATGCGAGTAGTCGGGCGAGTGCTGGGCGGCGGCGAGGAGCGCCGGATGCAGCAAAGTGGGCGGATGGTGAACGGGCGGTGACTCACGCTCGATTTTGTGCATTCTGGGCGGCGACGACGATGCCTAAAATAGAAGATTTAAAAAATATTAGATTCTCTATAAAATTAGATTTGGTAATTAGTTGGGAGTAGTTGGGGCTAATGATGACTTGAAAATTCCTTCGACGTATTTTTCTTGTTTGGAAATTTTTAATGAAGAGTCTTATTCTTCTATTTATTCAAACAATTTTATTCGGGTGCCATTGAAATAAGATTTTGAGAATTTTAAGTTAAGTTTTGACAATTGAGTTGCTATTCCAAACCTTCGATATCAACCCACATTTTATTTTAAATTTTCACTTTTCAATAAGTAATTAATTTTTCTATTTATAAAATAAATAAAATTAAATTTAAATGGGTCAAAAATCGAAAGTACTTTGGTTCATTGAATTCATCAATAAATAAATGGAGCTATGAATTTTTAATTAATTTAAATAAATAAAAAGGGAAAATAATAATTGTCAATTTCCATTTTCATTTTATGTACATATTTGGATAGGAAACGTTAGTTTTGTGTGGATTTTTTGGTTTCGTATATAGGTATAGCTGATGATGCGAGAAAGTTCAAGCTGGAATCTGCATCGGATCTTTAACTTTGTAGCTTTGTATAAGTGTAATTTAATTGGCTTTAATATGGCCATCATTACGTCGGATAGAAATTAACGTACCTAGTTTCTGTAATTTTTTTTTTCGTGAAAAAATACCAATGTATGTGGATAGAAGGAAGAAATAAATAATACTGTATAGGTAACCCTTTCAATAATTATTATGAAATGTAAGGACGTATCAAGTTCGTACGAAAAATTTTCACGACACATCGCCATAAAAACCGTCATAACTCCGTTAATCACGAACTGATTTTAACGTAATTGGCGTCAAATGAAAGCCGAGGCTTTCAGTCAGTGATAAAACGGATGGTCATTTTTACCTGCATCGCCATGTGATGGCTGGGCGGGCCGTGAAAAAACGGACTATACGGCGAAAAAACCTGCGACTCGTGCAATCCCGGGTTGGGGATGGCAACGGAGGTGGGAAGCGTTAAAATGGGTGGCGGAGGCGGCGGCGGGTGGTAAGGCGGCGGAGGCGGCCGAGGTGACCCCGGGGTTGCCTGAGGTTCCATTTGGTGAGGCGACATTGTGCCGCCCTCTTGCGCGCCGCCCAAAATACGACTCACCGTCCTCGGAGTGATTCTAGTGTCGGTTACCTGCAAATCAAAACAAAATAGGTTATAATTTTTTTATTATTGATGCTGGAAGAACTTCCACGGTTTTCGAATTGAAACACTTCAAACTTCAAAAAATACCGTAACATTGATAAATTATAAATTATGAATTCTCTACAAATCGGTTTTTCGATCATTTCCATCCAGCCTAAATATTTATTGAGTTATGACACGTTGAAGTTGAAGCTGCATCCTGAAAGTTGCGATAAGACAAAAATTGATTTCCTACGACTTAATTGAGAATTTTCATCTAGCTTCATGGTATAATATGACACATAGTGATAGGTATTAGGTAGGTACCATTTTCCGAGCTACGATACTTTGAAGTACAAATCAGGCCATAGCTGAGCTCGGAAACCATTCAGGCTGAACAGAAATTTCAAATTTGCACTTTGTGGAGAATTCACTTCTCCAAAAGAAAAAATTAAAAATTTGCAATAAAACTCACCTTATGACGTTTTTTTTTGGGGGCAACTACCAAACTCAATGCCTCATTCTGCTCAGGGGGAGGCGGCGCGTGCGCGTGCGTCATTCCATACAACGGCGCGTGACTGATTCGGTGCATATGCGCCGCTCCTTGAGGTTTAAATTGAAGCTGCTGATGCATATGCGACGGGGGAGGCGGGGGCGGCACAATTTTACGTTTGGCTTGCTGGAGCACAAATCGCGACAAAATCGTGTCAATTAATTTGGACATATTCGCGTTAATTTCCGTTTTCAGCGCATGCGCTAATCCTTCCAAATCTGTCATTTTTGTCGACACTGGTGACATTTGACAGTTGACTGTAGGTGACATTCGGTTGACTGTTGGTGACATTCTGACGTCATTAGTGTCATTTTCTTCGACTTTATGACACAGCTGCGCGTACTTCAGTTGCATTTCCGCTAATTGCTGTTGCATCGACTTCAATTGCGACTTTAATTGATTCTTTTCAACTTTTTTTTGTTTTAAAGGCTCCTCTACGTCATCGGTGTCAATGTCAACGTCACAAGTGTCATTAGTATCATTAGTGTCAGTGAATCTGTCGCAAGCGTGCTGTTGCGGTTGATAGAGTTTGCGTTTTTTGCAGCCGTTGACTTGTTGTTGACTCATGCCTGCCGAAAAATAAATTTAATGAGTATGGATGGATCGATAGGATTGAAATTGTATTGTAGCTGGGTCTTTTCAGAAACTTTTCAAGAAAATAAAATAATATTCTATTGTCCACTTTATTTTTTTAAAGTTTCGAATTTTTATCGATCGTCTGGGAAATTTAACACAAGAAAAACGTTCATAACGCTCCTACAAAGCGTCATATAGAAATGGCAAAAAGAGTAATTCTTACAATAAAAATTGAAATTATCTACGAAATTAAGTCATCAGATCAACTCTATCCGACTTATTATTTAAAAAAGTGACAAATTTTTCCATGGCAAATAAAATTAATAATTCAAGAAGACAGAGCCATTTAGGGTAAAAGCTTCTAGATCTAGAGTCTAAGATAAAAACTGAACATTAGCTCTAGGCATAATTATAGAAAATTGTCTCTATTTTTATTATTTTACGACACGCACAACTTTTTTCATATCTCTGCATCTAGCGAAGCTAAATGAATTTTTAATGCGTCTATAGATAGAGAATTTTGTGCTCTTTAACACGTGTGACACTATGACGCGTCACAAGCGCGAAAAAAAAATTGATTTCCGGCAAGGCTTTTTTGTTGACTCTTTAATATAAGTGTAGATACTTTACTGGTAAAATACTGTTTTTTTTTTCTGGAAAAGGAAAAACGAAATAGGTAGGTAGGTATGTTGCCAGTGACTATTAACACAACTTATCAAAATAGTTTTTTAGCGGCAAAATTTTGAGATTTGAAAATAGTTTATAAATTTTCAACCTGTAAAAGATAAGACATTGAAAAAAATACCTTTTATAATTATGTTTATGTTTTTTCATCTTTTTGAATAGTCACATCAAATACCTACCAGTCGAAAACTTCTACAGACAAATAAGTATATTTTTTTCTGTATCCAAGCCAGTTTGTTGCTTTTTGGTATTTTCACACTTGACATATTTTTGAAAAATGTTAAAACAAAAGCTTTTGTACCCACTCAAAAATTTTGGCCCAATAAGGTGTATTTCCTCTTTTGGTCTTGTGTCGAAAAATTTGATCTCAATCATTTTTATTAAGTTTTGGAATGACTGTTAAAAATATCGGCTTAGAATATTAAAATTTTCAAAGGAAGGATTGAGTTGAATTTAAAAATAAGTACATAATTTTTTTCCTATATACGTCCTTGATGTCATGGAATCGGCTTGAATTTTTTCGTGAGACACTTGCTAATGCCTCCAGTTCACTCCACAAAATTTATTCTGATATTACAAACCAATCCCAAAAAAAATAATTAAATCTCGTAACCTGATAAAGACACCAGGTACTGTCACTTACCGGAAACGATATTTTCAACCCTTGCTTTCTTGGCGTCCTCGGGCCGAGCCGGACTTTGTGGCTCGCACTTGGGCGAAGGCGCCGGCGACGAATTTTCCAAAATTTCGTTATTGTTGTTATTAAACTGACGATTTAGTAACAAGTCGCGTAACATGTGACTTAGGTCGCTTTGACTCAAGTCACTATTTTGATGATTCAAGTCATTATTTTGGTGACTTAGGTGATTTTCGGACATTTTTTGATGCAAATAGCGCAATAAGTCACTTTGACTTAAGTCACTATTTTGGTGACTAAGGTCACTTTTTTGACAGTTTAAGTCATTTTCTGTCATTTTTTGACGATTTAAGTCGTTTTTTTGGATGTGACCTAATTCACTTCTGGATTGGGGCATTTCGCCTAAGTCGCTTAAGTCGCTCTTTTGACGATGCATTTCGCTTAAATCACTTTTTTGACTTGAGTCACTTTTTTGACGTTGCGTCTCGCTTAAGTCGCTTATTTGACCCAAGTCACTTTTTTGACGATGCGACTCGCTCAAGTCACTTTTTTGACTTAGGTCACTTTGAAGATTGCGCAACTCGCTCAAGTCACTAAAGTCGCTTTTCTGACGATTCAAGTCACTTTTTTTACTCAAGTCAGTTTTTTGACGATGTAACTCACTTAAGTCACTTTTTTGACGACTTAAGTCGGTCAAGTCACTCAAGTCACTTTGATCGCTCAAGTCACTTTTCAATTCGCTCAACTCACTAGAACGACGCAATTGACGACTCAAATCACTTTTCAACGCACTAAGGTCACTTCGAAGACTCAAGTCACTTATGTCACTTTGACGTTGACTCAAGTCCCTGGAGTGACTTATGTCACTTTGACTCAAATTTTGACCCAAGTCTCTGGAATGATTTAATTGACAGCCTAAGTCACTTTGACTCAAATTTTGACGTAGCTCGCTCAAGTCTCTGGAATGTCTCAATTGATGACTCAAGTCACTTTTCAAGTCACTCAAGTCCCGGGAATGACTTTTTAATGTACTCAAGTCACAGTTTTGACTCAAGTTCCTGGAATGACTCTTTAAAGCATTTAAGTCACTTAAGTCGCTCAAATTTCTGGAATGATGACTTAGGTCACTTTTCAATTCACTTACATCACAATTTTGACGTAACTCATTCAAGTCGCAATTTTGTTTCAAATTACTTGAACGACGTAATAAGTCACTTTTTAACGCGTTTAAGTCACTCTGGCTAAAATTTTGACTTAAATCACTTTTTAACGCGTTTAAGTCACTTCTACGCAATAAGTCACTTTTTAACGCACTCAAGTCACAATTTTGACTCAAGTCACTTTTCAATGCGCTCAAGTCACTCAAGTCCCGGGAATGACTTTTTAACGCGCTCAAGTCACTTTGACACAATCGATGACTTAAGTCACTTTTTAAAGCACTTAGCGCACTTAAGTCACTCTGACTAAAATTGTGACTCAAGTCACTTATGAGCATTTTCTGTGCGCCACCGAAAAAATTAAATTGTTGTTGCTGAAAGTAGAATTGCGGACGGGAGGTAAAATTTGGTATCGACGAGTACGAGTTGCGCGGCTCGCCCGCGTCCACTCGTTGCCGCGTTCGTTTCGCCGATTTCTTCGAGAAACTGGCCGTGGCGTTGAGCAGCAGCGCGTTGTCCTCGTCCGAGGACATTTGCCGCCTTGCGCCGCCCCCTTGTGACGCCCCTTTGTTGGCGACGCCTCTCTCTCTCTCCTCGTAAGCAGCTGGCGGCTCCTAGCCGAAGCGTTGTATCGCTGCTGCCATGGCCGGGGAAGGTGGGTGGTTGGGGGGGATTGATGTGTCTGAAACGAGAAATTATTGTCACTTTTTTATAAGTCAAATCGAGTAGGAAGTTTTACTTTTTTGTTAATAAATATCCAAAGTATTGATTGAGACCTACAAATCTATTTTTCTCGATTTGTTGACTTTTTTTTTTTATGATTGTCAATAATTATTATTAGATAAAGGAGTTGACTCATTTTAGGTTAAAAAAATATCATAAGTTTCTTGATTTTTTCTTTTGGCAGTTTATGAAGGATTTTTCGAGGTTTTTTTTTGACGCTGACACCTATCAAGGGCGTTTCAATAAAAGGCTAGGTATACCTATAATACCTATATAACGATGAATCTTGTGTTAAAAATAATTTTAAAAAATGGCTACATTTTTTCAATTTTTGTATCCCGCTACGCCTCTATCCCCACTAACCCACCTCCTTAGGTTGAACAGGCGCTGATGCTTGCGTTTGGAGCAGAAAAGGAAAGTCGGAAGGGGGAACCGAAACTCAGAAATATAATTCTGATAAAGTTTCCAGAGTTTTTCCAAATCAAATTATGCTTTGGTGAGAATTTTAATTTCAAGTTAGAGATAGCTTACCTACCTTACAAAATGTGCCTAGGTACTTATAGAGAGACGTCAGATACCTACCCGTACATGCCTAGACAAACGCGGTCTTTAAAAATGGCATACCTACCTACCTACCCTATTAATAAGTATTCATCCAGTCACGAAAAAAGTCAACAAATCCTCTACAAACTTAAAAAAAATCTATCTTCAGTACCTAATAAAAAAGTTAATCTACCCGCCGATTACTCTGGTCAATCGTTCCTCAAACTCAGACTCCGCTCCCCTTCGTTCTGATTGGCCGATAGTCACGCCTCCTTGCCTCCCGATTGGCCAGCCCCCTCAACATTCCCTCGGTTCTCTTAATCTTGAACGGAGTTTGATTTGTTTTTTTTTTTCTAAGAATAATGCATTTTTCTATGATCTTTGGCGAATTTTTTATTAGGCACACCTATAACGGAGTTATGGGCATTTTAGGATTAAAATGTGCCCTAATCTTCCTATTAGGAGCTAGGTATCACGTCGTATCTTGAATCTTGAGACATATCTACAGTTTCCGAATTAAGACACAATTTTTGCTTCGAAACTGAAATAGGTACCCATCATAAAGCTGAACAAAAAAATCTCAACTCAGGTAGGTACCTATAGGCACCCATCTACGTTTTGTAGTAGAGAATTTGATTATTCACACCACAAGTACCTAGGCAGTACTAGCTACCTAGGTAAGTATAACATTATTCTTTCGGCTTTAACCAGTTTCCTAGTTCTGACACGATTTGGATTTTGGAGCGTCACAACGCGGAAACCAGAAGAAAAAATATTTTCCGATGCTTTGGAAAATAAGAGAATTAAATTTTCTATTATTCATGACATAACCTACAATAATTTATGACGCTATGACGTTGAATAAGCTAGATAATAGGTAGGTACCTACTAGGGCTCGGAATTTTTAAAATCCAAGTATTCGAATAGTCGTTTGGTATTTTATTCGAATAGTTAAATAATTCGAATAGTCGAATATTCGAATACCTATTCGAATAGTCGAATAGTCGAGTATTCGACTATTCGAATACCCGAATATTCGAATAGTCGAATATTCGAATAGACGAATAGTCGAATATTCGAATAGTCGAATAGTCGAATATTCGAATAGTCGAATATTCCAATGGTCAAATATTCTGAAAATCATTTATATTAGTTAGTTCGTACTTCGTCGTACTGTTAGTACTAGATTCTACTTTCCGCAAAAAAACGATCTACGACGAAGCGGATTTTTGATTTTTTATGCAGAGTATTGCAGAAGTCAGAAAAACTAAAATAATTTAGATGTTTTTTAAATGGCAAATTTACAGAGGGTTAAATTTACATTACGAACAAAAATGTATTGTATTCGAATAGTCGAATATTCGAATAGTCGAATATTCCAATAGTCGAATATTCCAATAGTCGAATATTCGAATAGTCGAATATTCAAATAGTCGAATATTCGAATACTTAGTCGAATTTGCTAACTAACAAAAAAGTCGAATTTAGAATAGTCGAATAGTCGAATATTCGGATTATTCGAATACAATTCCGAGCCCTAGTACCTACTATGCGAGCCTAAAGGTGTGACAGATCGTCCGCCTCGCCAATTTTTCGACACACAGCCTCATATACCTACTTATAAATATAAATAGGTAGGTACCTACTCATCCTAACTCAAAAATCATCAAAACCCGGATGAAAATTGTGATTATCGATTAGTAGGGAAGTAAATTCCTTGTAAACGACGCAAAATTCTACACCGTAGCGCCGCTAATAAAAAAGTTGGAAGGTACGCTCTTTAACGTAGACGCACGTCGCTGCGATAATTAAAATAGGAAATTCGCCTTTAAAGGCTCGAAATGAATAAAATTCGAATGAATGCAGCTCGGCCTGGTCAGCGTAAAGAAAAAATTCAATTGAAAATGCGCTTTTTTTTTTTTGCTAATTAAAAGCTTTGAAGCTGAATTGAGCAAAGCAGCGGCGTAGCCTGCAGATAAAATTAATTAAACTTTTACTTCTTTATTAATAGAGATATAGGGCATTTGCACGATCTGACACTTCACACTAATGACCAGTTGCCCTGCCAGGGGAAAAACATTGGTTAGTTTTGTACCTAGGTAGGTATACCTACACCTATAGGTATAGATGGGCGTTTTTTAAGTGCCTGTAATCACGAAATTACGTTATTTAAACAATAAACGGCAAAATATAGCCTTTCAATATGGCCTAGAATTTTGTTCGGTAGTTAATTCCGGTAGTGATAAAGCAAGGGATAAAATATCGTTTCTTGAATTTTCATCCGTTTGACAACAATGGGGAAGGGGATGATCCCTTGGTCTTGGCTCACGAGAGGAAATGAAAATACCTAGATAAAAGCTTTCAGAAGAAGCCTGACTGAAAAAAACCAAATACTTATATATTGATATGTACATATGTTTTAAACACTTTCTTGGAGGAGGTAGATTTATTTGATTTTTAATTCTTTTTCACAATAATTTTTATAACCATTGTCCATTATACCCATTGTAGGACAACCCAGCAAATTGTCTGATAAAGAACCTTAAGACCGACTGGCTTCCAAACCATCAGAAATTACGGGGTTGGGGTGGAGCTTATTAGTATCTAATAAAAGATAAATTTAATCGAATCGATTAGAAGCACTCAAAAATCATATCTATATACTTACAGTGTGTCCCGCTTAAGGACTGACCACCCTTCTAAAATTTTGATTTCTTAACCGATTCCGGAACCGACTCAATTTTTTTTTTTGTCTTATATCTACTCGAATTTGGCACTTATTGCTCATAATTTTATTTCTGCGTCTGTACTGGTGTACAGGGTGTCGTGTCCACAGTTATAGGCTCAACTTTTAAAGTACTAGGTATTAGGGATTTTTTTTTTAGAAAAAATCTATTAGCAGATTTTTGCTTAAAATGGTCTAAAACCCAAATGGGGTCTAGAACACATTAGGTCCCTAAAAACGGATAATTTTTCTATGTTCAAATTTGCATTGGAGCAATTATTAGGACATAATGAAGAAAAAAAAAGTGGATGAGTTCATTTTTTTGATAAACAGTATATTATTTAAATATACAGGGTGTCCTAAAAAGATACCGACACACTTTAAAGGGTAGTAAGGGACATCAAAACAAAAAACAAACATTTTTGTTTATATAAACATATGTCCACAAATGAGCCATTTGGGCTGTAGAGCAAAACAATTGTTTGGTACTTTTATTCTTCGCAATAATTAAATCACTGTTTACTTATTAATTTTGCTTATTTATTAACAAATAAATTATGGTTTACAATAATTGTTCAAAATGTTGACCATTTACTTCAATGCAAAGATTGCACCGTCAGGTTATTAATAGACAACTACTAAGTTAATTAAGGAAACTAATCACAAATTAGGTAGGAATTTTGAAAATGTCAGTAAAAAACCAGTAAAAAATCAATAAAATCAGTAAAAAACTTCAAAAAAACCCTTTCCATAAACATTAAATATTGTAAATATTCATCAAGGTGGTATGCTGATTTTGCCTTCAAATAGAAATCTTTTAAACTATAAACAAAATAAATGAACAAAATAATAATAATTGTAAAAAATCACTAGTCACTAATGCCTTATATCCTCTCGCTTCTCAACCTTTGACACAGATCAATAAATAATATCTATTCTTATCAGCTTAATATCGCTATACCTATCAAAGATGTACAATCAACAAAGAAAAAAATTAAATTTAAAAAATAATAACTTGATAAATATTCAAGGATCCATATTTTTTTCCTCGCTAACCATCTTGAAATTGCTTTGTTTATCAGTAATAATCAAAATCATATTGAAAATCAAAGGGACCTAAAGTGATCTATCACCCCCAAAATGTACTAATTTTTGTTTCAATACGATACAGGGTGATGACAACAAATTTTCACAATTTAATGAATCAAACCGCAAAAATGTTATATTTTGAGACAAGCTTACTACAAGTTTTGGCTGAGGATATTCTAAAACTATGTTGTATCAAGTTTTGTTGCTTTCAAGACCTCAAAAAGTGACATTTTTCCGGTTTGGTCTATTAAATTTTGAAAATTTGTTGTAATCACTCTGTATAATATTGAAACAAAAATTTGTAGGTACATTTGGGTTTTAGACCATTCTAAACATCAGATTTTTTCTAAAAAAATCCCTAATAGTACTTATTGAAATTTTAGCCTATAAATGTGGACACCCTGTACACCAGTACAGCCGCAGAAATAAAACTATAAGCCTAATAAGTGCCAAATTCGAGTAGATACCTATACGACAAAAAAAATGAATTGAATCGGTTGAAAAATATAAAAATTTAAGAAGGGTGGTCAGTCCTTTAAGCGGGACACACTGTATAATAAAGGAAATATAAGGATGAGCAAAAAGTGAGTTTTTGTATATGA